ACATACATACATACATACATACATACATACATACATACATACATACATACATACATACATACATACATACATACATACATACATACATACATACATACATACATACATACATACATACATACATACTACACATACATACATACATACATACATACATACATACATACATACATACATACATACATACATACATACATACATACATACATACATACATACATACATACATACATACATACATACATACATACATACATACATACATACATACATACATACATACATACATACATACATACATACATACATACATACATACATACATACATACATACATACATACATACATACATACAGTACAGTACATTACATTACATTACATTACATTACATTACATTACATTACATTACATTACATTACATTACATTACATTACATTACATTACATTACATTACATTACATTACATACAATATATTACATTACATTACATTACATTACATTACGTTACGTTACATTACATTACATTACATTACATTACATACATACATACATATGTGTTACATACATACATATATACATGCATGCATACATACGAGAGAGGGAGATTGGGGAGAGAGAGGCTTGGGGGGATAGGGAGGATGGGGAGCAGAGGGAGGGAGAGAGGACGACAGAACACACAAGGGAGACAAGGGAGAGAGGAAGAAGGTGAAAAGGGAGAGAACAATGTCGGCGGACTGAGCCGGAGGCTCTAAAGTTTAAGGACATATTCGTCATGCAGCGGGTTCGTGTCCAAGAGGTAGTTGGTTGTTCTTTCTGATTCATTGTTTATTATGGCAAGTTTTTGGCACACTCTCAATAAAGATTTTGACGGCGCAAGTCCTCTACAACTCTAAAACTGTTTTTTGGCAAAGGCATGGCTTTGGCGGTGCCATGCAGTGGTGTGCAACACTTCGTCTCTCCGACCTCTCTACAAATAAACCCGTGGCTCCTCAACTATGAATAATGGATTGCGCTGGTGGCAAATAGAATAGAATAGAAAGCAGAACTCTGAGAGCGTAAAGCCAAACGGAAACATCCCAACTGCGTCAAGCTACCTACCAAAAAACAGTTCCATGCGACTTCAACAAGCAATGACCTGCTTGTTGCTTGTGAAACCCGCTTCTGGGGTTATCTGTGTTCCTCAGCGGGCACAGCGCCAACAATTCCTCCGCAGATTCAAGCGTTTTTGAGTCATCGTGTCTCCTTCCGCAGCCTGGCAAAAGCCCCATGCTCCATGTCAGGAAACAGGCAAGAGCAGCTGAAGCCCTAGCTGCGGCTGTCACAAGGGTGAAGTGCGTTCGCAGCAAAACTCAGCTTGTCAGCCGCAGACATTGCCATCCCTTTGCACAACAACACTGGCCCGTTAACATCTCTGCGCCCGAACCTTCCCACACACGTCATAGAGCAACTTGATATCATCTTTGATCTGCTGCCTGGAAGCCGGGACTGAACAAGGCTGGACTCGCTCTGCATGTGTTCCCTGTCCCCCCAGCCAAAAGCAGATATCATTATGTTTCCAGCATCACCAGCTCAGGCACGTACCATGTGAAGTCGTTGTGCACCTGGTTGCTTGGCCGGGCTGTAGCTGTGAAGGAAACAATCAACCAAGGAGAAAGCTCCAAAGCAAGCTGGGAAAGGGGCGGGGCCCAAAGAAACCTCAAACAAAGAACAAAGCAGGCTACATCCATTTGCTTAAGTTCCCTGGCAAAAATAAAAAAAGCTCCTGTAGTGATTGATTTCCCTTAAAACCAGCAGGGGAAATAATAATAAGCTCAGGCGATATCCCCAACAGAATGCGGTGCTCTTTTTGGTGCTCGCACCACCCGAGCCCTCACAGAACCTCGTGGAACCCTGGTGGAACCCTGGTCGAACCCTGGTGGAACGCTCGTGGAACCCTCGTGGAGCCTTACCTCAGGGCCGCCCCGGACCACCCCGGAGCCTATCTGGGCTGAGACATCCCCAAGCTTTCAGCCGTTGGGGAAAGAACAAAAACTAAAACCACCCGAAGGCAAACTGTTGGGACGCCTTGCGCGGCTGCGGCCGCGGCTGGCGGACGCTTCTCCTCCGGAATCTCCGTGTCGTCGATGACTTCTTGCGCCTGGCGCAGCTCCCCAGGGGAAGCGGTTTGAGCCACAGATCCAGCGCCTGGTCATAGTTCAAGCGGCATTGGGAGCAAATGGTGGTCTTGGCAAACCAAGGCCTGTCGCGTGGCAAGACTTGGAACACCAAAGAGAAAGCAATGCTGGAGCCAAGGGGCGGTGGATCCTGGATCAGCTGGCCAGTCCTCTTGCAAAGTCCTTGGCCATGTTTTGGGGCCCTGTCTCAAGCAACCCGACTTTGGCTGAGACGGTGTAAAACTCCCACGCTGAGGTGGCGAACCCAGGCAAGCCAATAAATGGTTGTCGCCTATTTCAAGAAGCCCGCATGAAGCCGGGCCCCGAAACGAAAAAACGGGCAACCATTCGGGTGTCCTACCATTGACGCAACGCTTGGGCTGTTTAAAGGGAAACCCAAAGGAACCAATAAATGTTCAGGGGGATCTCCTTCATAGGAAACACCCATAGGTTTGACAACCCTCCAAATGGGTATGAACTTGAATTGGGATCCCTCAAGGACATCATTTACATGGGGATTTGCGTCCAGACTGCCTGTGTTGACTGCCCTCCAGGTTTGTATCATCCATCTTATTGCCTCAAAATCGGGAACCCTTGAAATGAGGGGGGGGTCCTTGCGTCTTTCCTTGCAGCCAACCCCCAAAAAGGCTTCCATAACAAATCAACCACCCATATTTGTTTAGCTTTGATCCGCTTCCACCCTCCAAATTCAGACCACGACGCGGAAGAAGGCCGAGAAGGAGAGCTTGGGCTCGTTCCTGAGCTCTGGGCTGGGAAGCAGCTGAACTCGATCCAGAACAGGGGGTAAGCGCGCGAAGCGAGCCGAAGGATAACTTATCCTGTTGGGCCGTTGCGCCTGGAGGAAACCCATTTTCGGGTGGCAGAGGATGGGGCACACAAAAATGGCCGTGCCCAGACAGCTAACGCTTTGACCAAACTCAAGCCTTGCCCCTTAACCTAAGGTTCGCCTGGGCAGCGCTAGAGTCCCACTTCGATGGACAGGTCCACTCCTAGCTCTCGGACATGTCCAACAACAATGAAGAAGGTTGTTATCCCAAGGAACGGTCACAAAATACGGAGAAAAACGGGGAACAATCGAAAAATAAGTGTGTGTGTGTGTGAACTAGTTTGGAGCGTATCGTCATCGACCTGTTCCCCCCTTGACCCGGAGAACCCATCGCATGTATTGCCGAGACGCGGATTCAGCGAGCAAAGATGATTGCAAAGGCCGTGGGGCAACATCGGCAGCACCTTCCGTTCAATGAAAGGCAGGCATAGTCTTACAGTTGCACGTAAATGAGCAACTGTGAATATTAATTGTCCCCTGGTTTGTTCGAATGGTATTCTGGTGAGTGGGACCCATGTCATCCCCTTTACTACAGAAGAAATGTCAATCGTTGCGACATCATGGCGGTCGATGAGGGCAGCACGCGGCCGATGAGGTAGACTGAAGTAGACCGACCTGAACCACGGCCCCTGCTCTGAGCTTCGTCCGAATTCGTGGAATTCAGCAATGGACGCCGCCTCACCCTGCGTGCATGTCTTGTAACTGTAGTTACTCAAGCCCCAGAGGGGTTTTACATGGGGCAAAGACCAGCCAATTTGCATAAATGATGTAAGCTTCAACCCCTGCGTCTTGGCTCAGCTTCAACCCCTGCGTAGCCAACTTGCCAAGCCCTGCGCACGTCTAAGCCCATGGAGCTTCCAACTCTGAGAGCCCCGGACGCTGAGCCTCGGAGTCCGTGACGGTGCCCAGCCTGGGCTGATGGACTCCGGGCGGGGGCCTTTGGACCAAGGGGGGTCGTGTTGCCGCCTGTGGTGGAAAAATGATGGACCCCCTGGTGGTGAAGGATTCCTCTTTGAGGGGGTCGGCAATTCTCTCACAAAAGGTGGCAAAAGGACCCCCCTGACAACATGGCGCCAATCTGCTTCAAGGTGCTTCAGGAAATGCCCAACATCAGCGATGTGGACACCAACCTGCAAGCGCTGAATCCCGAAGCAAACCGCCATGTCGTTGTGACAGGCCTCAATTTGATTCTTCGCGGGCAAGTCGTCAACATGGATAGCATCATCCAAGTCCTGCAAATTTGCATAAATGATGTGCAGCTGGAACAAAGAACAAAGTCGACCTTCCACAGCAGAGCGTTTCGGGGGATTCGTCACTGCCGACAACCCCTTCTGAAACGAATCCGAGGACCCGATCGCTCGCAAAATTCAACAGGCTCCTTCGCAGTTGCAGGGTCGATGGTGAAGATGCGCATATGCCGGAGATCCATCCTACAGGCAAGGGCTTCCCATATCGTATAATGTGCATGAGTGTACAATATATATGTATATGTAATATAATGTAATGTAATGTAATGTAATATAATATAATATAATATAATATAATATAATATAATATAATATAATATAATATAATATAATATAATAATATAATATAATATGATATAATATACTATACTATATATATATAGTTGTGTGCGTGTGTGAATAATGCGATTCATAGCTTGTCACGACAGCAAGCCGTGAAGTCACACTCTCCACATGCGAAATGTTGAAGTGACTTTGGGCCAACACCAAGCTGGCATTGCTTGTTCAGCCTTGGCCGCTGTCCGCGCCTTTGCTTTGCCTCCTCCTCGAAGCTTTCCCTCGCCTTCTTCACGATCTCATCTACCTGGAGGGTTCAGTAAGATCGACTCGACTGAGTCTCAACAGGGATCCGGATGCATTATACACCTGAACATCGCCTTGTAAATGGCGGTTTCCTTTATTTTGGCGGAAAAAGCCATGTTTCAAATGGGCAAATGTATCTTTTAAGGAGCCCTGCTCAATGTGGGGTTGATCAAAAGTCTGTGGGACGACAGACTGGCCAATCGTCCCTGCTTGAGGCTCGCAGGCTCAAGCAGACTTTTGAAAGGCCAGGCAGAGCTGTACAAAAATGGCTGTGGCTCAGAAAACCGGTACCAAAATGGGTTGCCCTGGTAAGTGGAAACATGGACCAAGACCTGCGGTTTGCCCCTCCTGTTTAATTTTGAGCCACACCCAAATGGCACCGACAATGTAATCGCCATACGCACCGCGCGATCTCCCAAGTCCGAAATCTCTACGCATCCGCTAGGGTCAAGTTAGTGCGGGGTTTGGTGTGGCGGGAGCCTCATTCAGCTCCTCGTCAGGAAAGTCCACATCATGGTCATCCAGCTCGTTGGCAAGTAGCGCCTTGGTCCGAAAGTTGCTCCCAACTGTTCCTCTTCAAAGAAACAAAAGCAGCAAGCATGGAACAGAAGGAAGCAAGCATCAAGCGATTCTTGATAGTTGCCTTTGGACGCTGCACCTGCCTAATTATTCACTAAGAAACTGCCTCCCTACCCTCCACGGTTTTGGCTGCGCACTCGGCTCATGTTCGCCTGGGAGCCTCACGTGCCTCTCTTCTGCCTCCAGACTCCCGGCCTGCCGAGGGAAGTGGAACCGACACAAAACCAGGCCCGGGGACGGAAACTCATACTGTGGATGGACGAAATCCATTTCGCACCACCGTTCAGAAACCCTAGTTTCTGATGATTCACCTGTATAAATACTAACAAACAATGGTTTCCCATGGTTTCCAAGTGGTGCAGGATTTCGTCCATCCACAGTAGGAACTAGTCTAGTTAGTTCCATCGGGACGCCCCAAAATGGGGAAGCTCTCTGGGATGTTTCAAGGGAAACCAAAGGGATCAAACAAATCAAAAGGGCCCTGTTCCCTCAGGGAGCACCTCACTTGAGAGGGGGTAACCCTCCCACCAAGGATCATGGGGTGCCCCTCCCTGTCCACTATTCCCGGATGGTTTAATATGTTATTGCGACCACTTCCCTTGCGTGGGTTGCTTGGTTGCTTGGGGGTAACTCGCAACTCGCAGCCGGAAAAGCGGCAAGCGGCGGAAACCTCCGGCGCACCCTGCCCAAGCACTGGCCATGCAGCTTCGCCAGGGGATGCCTAGCTGCGAAGGGCGAAGGTCGCTCTTGGAGGAAAAGCGCCAGTTGGGGGGATCCATTTGAAGACAGGTCTGTTTCAGTGCTTCCCTTCAAAGGTAGAAAGGGGGGTACCAAGATTTAGGACCATATTTGTGTGGTTTCTGTCAATCGCAGCCTGAGTCGTGTCATGCCTCGAAAACCGTACACACTAAGGTTTCCGGCTTTGAGAACTCATCCCACTTTGCGACTTGCAAAGGCCACAACCTCATGACACAAGGCACACGGGCACACTGGGCACACTGGGCAGTCGCATTCCAGTAAAAAAAGATGTGGCAATGGCAATGGGTCAAAACCAAATCGTACCCCCAGTGAACATCCCAATCCCCACTAAAAATCTCGACTAAAATGGGTGGTGCACCTACCAAAAATGGGATGCCATTGGTTTTTGAACCATGGCCATGTTTGAAATTGGAGCTATCCAGAAATGCTCCGGGGACGTGCCAGGCGCAGCTCTAGGATGAGGACTGGAAGGGATCGAGCTTCCCCGGTATCTTGAGGGCCTGCAAGCCCCTCCAGCACCAAAGAGGCTGGCCCCATAAAGGCTTCTCTCCCTGTGGCTCCATGCTCGCTCTCAAACGCCCTTTGCAGGCCCGCAGCAGAAGGGCTGTGCTCACTGGGCCTTGGAAGTGACCTGGTTGATCTGCAGGAGCATGGTGGGAAGCCGCTTGTCTGTCGGGATAGCCTGAATCCAAGTGTCCTCCTGCGGTTTCAGGTAGGGTTGCCGGGAAACACCTCCAAGCTTCCATTTGGTTAAGACCCCTGGAAAAAATAAACATAATTCCAGTAGTGATAAATTCCTTTTGCAACCAACAAGGGGAAAAACAACTACAAACAAAATCTCAAGCAAATGGAAGCAAGAAATCTGACAGGGCAACGGGCAACGTCCTTGAGCACTCGAGGATCTGCTTCCTGAAGGGTTGAGAAGGAAGGCTTGGAAATTAGCAGGAAACCACAAGGAAACTAGCTCTAGACATAACATTTTGGGGGGCCACTGTGGATGGACGCAATCCTGCACCACCTACAGAGACCGTGGAAAGATGACTCCCCTGTAAATACCAAGCACGGTGTCCCCATGGTTTCCGAGTGGTGCAGAATTTCGCCCACCAGTATTTTGAGAACCTCCCAGTTGACAGACTTCCGCGTTCGAAAATCGATGAACATCCCCACAGGCTTCAAGTCGAGGTCTTTTGACCATGGCTCGAGTACGTGTAACGGTTTGCCGCTGCGCTGCAGCACGGGACGGCCTTCTTGTGCCTGTCCGGGTGCAGGGTGCAAACTATGGCCTTGGCTCACGGGATATCCATGGCGTAAAAATGACATGCCCAAATCGCTGCATATGGCGGCAACCCACATTTTGGCAAGCCAGCGGCTTCCTTACGGAGTTCCATGCAATCGTCCAACGTCGCTGGGGTAAAAAACGCCCAACTTCAAAGCGCATGCTCAAAGCTCCAAGCTGCGCACCCTTCCCTGCCCCTTCTTCTGCCCGATGGCAACCACCTGTATGCCGTTGGCATCTGAAAACGCGATCCATCTGGCCAGCAGCTTGCGGCTTGCGCACACGCCTGGCCCTCACTCAAACACCAGATCTAGCCCAACCAAATAGAAGGGCTGCTGGGCAACTCCGTTGTGATCCATCCCTCGCCTTGGCCATCTGCACATCCGGCTCCGCTGCCGCTTTGCTGGAGCTGGGCTCGGCTTTGCCACCTGTCCCAAAAGCTGCTGAACCCAGGATGTTCGGCCCCACAAAGCGTTCCTAGTGCCGGCATAAGACTGGTGGCGAGTTGACCTTGCGTGCAAAGTGATACCTTGTGAGTGGGTGATTGTGATGTGATAGCTTGTATGAGAAATGCTGGTCTCAAGCCCCCTTTGAAGGACTGATGTTATCTGACTATCCCCTGCAACCCTCTTAAACATTAATCAGGTGCTGCGGCCGTGGCACAAAACCTATTCCCATGCTCGGCTCGGACCTAGGCTGAGACTTGGCTCGCAGCCTGCCAGGTGAGGCTTGGCAAACACCACCTCCTCCTGTCATGAATCGAAACTCAGTTCTTTTTGTTTGCCAAGAATCACTTGCGCTACTATGGATGGACGAAATCCAGAAATCGCACCACTTTGAAGCCATGGTTTAAAAATCCATTGGTTGGAACTTTGCAGGGGGATCGAACCTTTCCAGGATTTCTGAACGGCGCGAAGTGGATTTGGTCCATCAAGGCCAACTCCCCCGAACAGGACCTCGGAGTCGGAGTCGTTGATGGCCGCCTTAGGTGGCTCCTCGTCTGAGGAGGAGTCCTGGCCGTCCAGCTTTGGTCCCTCCGACGGCATCTGAGTCGCAATCAAAACCTGGTACAAAAATGGTGAACCCAGAACCATGTAAACAGATAGAAAGGCGGCCGCAACTATTTCCGGCCGGGACTGCCCCTTACTAACCTTCATCTACCCAGGTGTTGATTGTGGCTCATCTGACGTCTGGCCTCTGTCCGTCCCAGCAGAACAGGCTGCACCTCACGCGAAGCGAAAGGAAGAAGGCAAGCTGCGAAAGGCGGCCCGCCCTTCCAAGCCGCGCGCGATGACCACGTCTCCATGCACCGCCCGGTTCCGGTTTTTGGAACCTCGCACCTGATCAATGTTGTCTGCAGAACTGGCACTGCCTTTCCATTCATTGATTCTACCATTCCAAGGATGGTGTCTCCGAATAAGGAAGCTCCCATCCAGTTTGGCATCCCTTTGCATCTCCCTTTTCAGCCCAGAAAGGCTTTCCTAAGTTGAGGCAAGGCAGGAAGCCTAGCAGCATACTCAAAGCCTAGTGCAGCCATGCAGCAATGAACTCGCGATCCTTGCCCTCAACGCGCACCCAGGCCATACCTGCGAGTTCAAGGCGCTCAGCTGAAGCACCACATGGCTGTGGTGGTCAAAAATGCGTACCCAAACTGGCTTGCCCTGATAAATGGAACCAAAGGCTAAAACCTTCGGTCCCCTGGTGGGTTCATTTTGACCCATGCCCACATGTTGATCTTTGAGGTTGTCAAATGTCAGCACTGATACATGAAGCCACCAAAAGTTGGTCATCCAATTCGGGTCAAAATGGCACATCGTTTCTAGCCTCTGTGAAATGATAGCGCTTGTGGTCGAATGTTGCAGTCCGCACTCACGTGGTTGGATATGTTTGCTCGCTGTGCTGAGTGTGAGATGGCTGTGGTTGTCAAAAATGCGTACCCAAAATGGAACCCTGATAAATGGAACCAAAGGCTGAAACCTGCGGTCCCCTGGTGGGTTCATTTTGACCCATGCCCACATGTTGATCTTGGAGGTTTGTCAAATATCAGCACTGATACATGAAGCCACCAAAAGTTGGTCATCCAATTCGGGTCAGAATGGCACATCGTTTCTAGCCTCTGTGAAATGATAGCGCTTGTGGTCAAATGTTGCAGTCCGCCCTCACGTGGTTGGATATGTTTGCCCGCTGTGCTGAGTGTGAGATGGCTCTGGTTGTCAAAAATGCGTACCCAAAATGGAACCCTGATAAATGGAACCAAAGACTACAACCTGCGGTCCCCTGGTGGGTTTATTTTGACCCATACCCAGATAACCGTCAAAGTATCCAAACAACGTGGCAGTAGGGGCTATACAAAGGGATCGGAGGGGCGAGAAATCAAGGGACAGGAGGGGCGAAGGCTCTACGGACATGTTGCCTTGCCTGCAACATATCGAACAACCCCCCCCGACAGAAGCATCCAAACAGGAGCACTTAATTTGGAGCCGCTCACTCGGAGTGTGCCGCTAAGAAACACCTTGGCTGCAAGCAGATCTCTCAAGGTCCCCTTGGCCGCACATTGCCCCTCGATTGCCAAAGTAGATCTACGTGGGTCAAAATTAAACCACCAGGGGACCACAGGTTTTAGTCATTGTTTCCATTTACCGATCGGGTGCCATCTTGGGTACCTTTTTTTTAACTTGTCACAGCCATGTCTAGGCCTTCCGGCTCCTGAGGCGAGGCCTCAGCGAAGCTCGCAGCTGGTTTCAAAACATGCCGACTCCGAGGTGGCGGATGCAAAGCGAAGAACTCGGCGCCTGCATCCACTGTGGCCTGATCCAAATGCGGCTCGAACACCTTCCGCCGCCCTGGACGTGATTTGGACTACAACTCGACTCATGCGCAGCTTGCGAAGCCAGCGCCTATGCCCGAGGATGAAGCCGCCGACGTGCCCGAGATTGGCTTTGCCTGGCGCAGACTCAGGGGACGTGCCTGATGCGGCTGCGAAGTTCTATGTGGGAACAACAGGTGAGCCAGCATGCGGGCGGGGATTGTTTATGTCCAGAAACGGTTTGGGAAAGTGTTCCTCATGGCCATGCAACTGCATAAGAGCTGCTTCACAAGGGAAAGGGGGCGTGCATCCACGATAATGATGATAAGGATAAGAGAAAAAGAAAGAGATGATGATGACCATCATGATGATGATGATAATGAGAAGGATGTTGATGATGATAATGACGATGATGTAGCCCAAAATAAAGTCTCCTACACCCCGAATTAAATAATATTAATTTTACGTGCTTTCGCTGACAAAAAGCCCGCCAAAAAAAAAACAGATATAAGGATGCCACTGGACAATGGGGCAATGGATGACTGTTATGTTAACTATCATCGTAGCATCCTTTGCATCACCAATGCTGCTCATAAGAAATGACGACGACCATGATGATAATGGCACGCGCGGGCATGATGATCATTATCATTCACATCATGAAAAACATACCATCTCTACTTGTTCCTTGATAACTATTATCAACGCATCCTTTGCATTGCCAAGGATGTCTAACGTCGCTGTTGATTTTCATACATGTTAAGATGTATATAACGATATTAGATGATGCTACCTGCTGGAGCAAGGCTGCCCTGCGTCTTCGTTTGTGAACGACCAGCCTCGCTCTCCGTCCCATTGGAATAGCCTGGATTGATACGGACAAAAGCATCGAACAAACATTGAACCGAAAACATTCGGCTGCATCGTTCGGCTCCGAAACGAGCTCCAGACCCTCCATTGCGATTGGCTGAACCGGCGAACAGACTTGCTGAGAGTTCTGCAAAAGCAAGCTTGCCTCAAAGCTCAAGAACTTCCCCAAAAAACTTCGACAAAGACTTATGAGGTCATCCTGTCTGATTGAGCAAACTGGAGGTGTCTTCTTGGCGCTGAGGACTCTCTTTGTGAGAGATGAACGAAGGACTCATGACTAGCTGCAGCCGGCAACCCACATGCGCCAAGGCTTCAACCGCTGTGTCCATGCCACTGCCAAGGGACAGTTGATTTGCACACCCGGCCTGAGAATGCCTTCATGTGGCCATGGGTCAAAACCCTGTACCCCCAGTGAACATCCCAATCCCCACTAAAATCTCGACTAAAATTGGCGTGCACTTGCCCCAAAATGGGATCCCACTGGTTTTGAATCATGGCCATCTGTGTCCATGCAAGCAGCGTGCACCCAATGCATGTTAACATGTCAAAGCTTGAACAGCAGTCGAGAGGCATGCCTCAAGTGAGACGGGCGACAAATGACATCCAGGTCTAAGAACCCAATCTTACTGCATGGGGCCGCCTGGGGCCGGCTGCCGGATTTCAACAAGCAGCCTCCCAGGGAGCTGGATGTCTCACCTCTCGATCTGCCGAGAGATGGGGTGAAACTCGCTGGGCCTCATTGACCATCCCTGACTTCTCAGGTCGCTCGGGTAGACTCGTGTCGCCAATCGCCAGTTGCCATGGTCAAACTCCAACTTGTTCATGGTCACGGTTGCCTTGATGGGAACCCAAAAACTGGTCTGGAACCACATATATGTTCCGGAGTTGACTATCCCTATTTCCAAGGCAGAATAAATTTGATTGCAGTCAAGTTTCGGCACGAAGGACAGCATTTGAAGCGTCTGGATCTGGCCAATGACTTGATCCACCGGATTTCGCGTGCAAATGGCCTGCTCAAAATCTGTGGGCCTGAGATTCGCCTTCCGGATATTGCCAAGTGAGCTGCACCCGGCATACTCCGATTTTTTCGACACGAGCTCGGCCCGAGCGAACTCGCCTGAGTCCCAGCGCCACGACCGCAAGTATCGCAAGCACCCGGCCGCCTCTTCCTTGCCATGGCCGGCCTGGCCAAAGCTCTCGGATTCACTCGATCAGTTCAGCTCGGCCAGCCTTCCACAGCTGAGTAGTTTCGCCATCCTGACACGTCAGGCTGTAAGCCAGGATGGCAGCTGATCGTCAACGACTCAAACATCCTCAAACATACAGGCTCTGTCTTGACCAAAAAAAAACGTCGGCTAAGCGCAAGGCGAGCAAAAGTGTCTCTCTGTTCTATAATGATTCCATATCCTTTAAAAAGCCTCACTAATGCCATACCAAAACTCTCAGGTGCAGGCCGTTGAACAACTGGACTGGGTTTCCTCGGTAACATAATCAAAACAAGGTGCTCATCCCTATAGGTCTTCCCTGGGCACTTGTTTCTGTATTGTCCGGTTCGAGCAAAAAACTTTTCCCCAACAAACGCTCAATTAGAACAAAAACACCAAATTGGAAAATTGCTCTGGTGTGTCCGCAAATGTCCGCTCATTTCCCGCTGATGTCCGCTTGTCCCAACGATTTCCCCTCATTTTCCGGGAGAGAGCTGGCCAAATCATGCCAAATCAAGGTGTCCGACCTAGGTCTGGACATGGAAGACATAATGGAAGCGGATATGTACAAACATCATGTGAGGAGTCTTCCCAGTTCCCAATCAGATGACAACAGAACTTAAGCGCACAAAGCGCACCCACACACACACACACACACACACACACACACTCTTGCTCTGCCTCTCTCCCCTCTCTCGCTCTCGCTCTCGCTCTCGCTCCCTCTCCCTCCCTCTCCCCCTCTCCCTCCCTCCCTCCCTCCCTCCCTCTCTCTCCCTCTCCCTCCCTCCCTCCCTCCCTCCCTCCCTCCCTCCCTCCCTCCCTCCCTCCCTCCCTCCCTCCCTCCCTCCCTCCCTCCCTCCCTCCCTCCCTCCCTCCCTCCCTCCTTCCACGCTCCGGTCAAAATACAAGTTCCGCGCCCACGAGCAGGGTGGCCAGAGTGGCTGGGGTGGGATGGGTATGTGGGAGGTGGATAGGGTTATAGATAGGGTGGGTAGGGTGGGTGCGTGGGTGTCCTTGTTTGTTGGTGCTTTTTTGGTTTTGTGTGTCTCTGCGTTTGTTTGTGTGCGTGCACGGCGTCCAAAGATTCGGACCCCTTTGGGTTGCTTTCAAAAGGAAAAGACAAAAGGAATCAACCATCTGTAGAGGCCCATTGCTCTGCGAACCACCAGCTGGCATTTTTTGCGACACGCAGTGGTGGATGCGGCCTCAAGCTTTGGCCTCTTCGGCGGAGCGTAGGGCAACTTTGCTTTCCCTTCCCAGTAGACCTCAGAAATCTGACGATTGACCAGTCCGTGTTGCACAGTTTGTACTGCCTTTGTCCAACTTTGCCTGCCTTTTGCTGCGTTGGTTGGGTTTACATGGCTCATCGAGAAAACACATGAGTCACAATCAATCCTGATCCGGTGTAAAAATGGTCTACCCATGCTTCAAGAATTGAAAGTGCTGCAAACACTTTTTCCCATTTATGGCAAGGGGATTGTCCCTCATCCCTCGGTTTTCAGCGAGCACGTGACTCACATCGCCTCCCATCGCTTTGCTTGCGTGCTGGGGACAGTACCCAGCGCCCAGCGTGCGAGGCAAAGCCGTTTGGATCGGGCCGTGAATTTTGTCTTTCTGAGTGAACACTGGAGATCGACTGGCAGGGTGACAAAATTACACATCGCCCCTACGGTACCACACAATGGCAAAGCCCCGCTTTTTATTTTTTTCTTATTTTTGTTTCTGAGTTTCGAGTTGGCAGGAGACTGACAAATTACACAGCGTTCCTAGAATGAAAGTGTAGTGCGCAAGGGTTCGGAGGACAATCGTCTCTCAACCACGCAATGACAATGTCCTGTGGGTCCAGGCCTTTCTGGATCGCAGGTAAATGCGAACGCTGCTCTGTCCAGTTGCTCCTGGCGCCTGGACGGTGGAAGCAAGCGCAAGTGTGAGTTGAGTCGGGAATTCGGCAAAGTATGGTGGAAACAAACACGAACAGGGAAACAGGAACCGCAACGTAAACGTCGTGAAACAAGTTGGAAGTCGGTCCGGTGTCGTGGATGGCGGGAAGGGAAGGGTGTGGTGCTTCATCAATGAGTTCTGAAAGGCAGTGCATTGCTGGGATTCTTTGTCATGGCAAAAATTGCAATTGATGGGCCACAATCGGACATCCATGTTTCTCCTCTATGCTGTGGCGGGCTTTAGTAAGGATATGATGCCCACCCCCACTCACTTCGTTCGTTCACTCTGTCCCGGCTCCAGAAGTCCTTATATGCCGGGCACTTCCCAAAACAGGAATTGATGCTGAATGGGGACCATTGTGAGGCAAAAGCCCCGCGCAAAAACGAGCACGCCCACGTCAACTTGACGCCTGGCAGGTTCATTTGAATGGAAGGTTGTCTTACAGGTACTCACTTCATGGAGCATTTGATATTGGGCAAAAACAAAATGCCCCCCCCCCTTTCCCCCCCCTTCCCCGCCACAGAGGCTCATTTAATCTTGTAAAAAGGTGCTTGGAGAAGCTTTCGTGGGGGGGTTCAATCTCTCGTCTGAGATATGAGATATGAGTCCGCACGAATTTGCATTGGGAATTCTTCGGCAACCATGAATCATCATTTCGGAGGACACTCTTATCTAATGATAGACTTTGTTGCTGTCCCTCCGACGCTCCTAAACTCGTGCAGAGTCCTCCTGCAAAGATAAATCGCGTTGATGGCTCGAGCTTTTAAAACTCGCATTCACCCAAGGCATAAAAACAATGGGTGCATACGCGAACGGCGGGCGTCCCAACTCTCTGGCCTCTTCGCGTCTTCTCCCTCTCTGTCAGCGGGTGCCACGCTGTGCAAAGCAAATGGTCCCCAGCCTTGACGCCGGCCAAGCCAAAAGAACAGCGTGTAATCATGTGTACCCGCTTCCACGCCATGGGGCAGTATTCAAGTCCCAAGGACTACAGTATTACCCATGGACAGAGCCCATTTGGGATGTCCAAGACTGGAGTGTGGCCCACCCAAATCATAGACAAACACCCACAACTGAATTATTGTCAGACCCTATATAATTAGAGAACAAACAACTCCAGCATGACCATCACGGCCTCCTCTCCTCTGGGTTCAAGCTGACGGTTCAGGAGATAGCACGCGATGCATGACAGCCAGGATGTGAGCAACTCCGACTTCGAGTTCTTTGTGGGGTGTTTTGCTCTGGGAAAGAATTGGACTGCGGACTGCTTTCATGGAATGTCAAGAAAAGAACACGATGCGGCATATGTCCGCCAAGCTCGGGATATCGCCGACTTGGCGAGGTGAAGTGGGTGTAGCAATCCTGAGATTGCACGTCCCTGCTAGCTCATGGCGATCACGTGCTGTAGGAGGGCTGATAAACATGCGTTCATTGAATGGCCGCAACCCTACTTGGAGTTCTTCCTTGGCCGCTTCATGTAGCATGACCTCTGAACGCCCAAACTCAATGATCCATCGCTCTAGACGCCTTTTTCATGATCAAGCTTGCAGCGGCCTAGTCCGTGGCACGTGGTGCGCGGTGACAAAAAAAACTGCAAGTCGCTTGGATGTACCAGCGCTTGAGAATGGGGTCATGAACCAATGCCACAATCAACCAATCCTTCTGGAACGCTGTCCGAACGCCTTGAGGTGATCCTACACAGCCAGCCCGCACCATCGCGCCGTTGTGAGCTTGTCGCCTTTCTGGAAATCTCCATCTTTCGCATCATCTTCCCTGCGACCATGGCTGTCTCCATCATCCAAGCCGTTGAACGTCCAAAGCTGCAGCCGCTTCCGACCACGACTCACGCCTCCGCGGCAATGAAGGTATGTGGTTCCCTCCTTCGCACCCACTCGCCTTCCCCTCCAACGTTCGCCCTCCACATAGCCAGAACCGATGGACTTGCCCTCAGGAAGGGCAAGGTCATCCCTGTCGAAGTTGAAGTACTTCCCCGCGTTTCCCTGAGGATGTGTCGTGCCGAGCACTGTGATGGTGTTCCGGACTGTTTCGTACTTAATGTCCTTCACATCGATAATGCTGCGCCATGGGCGAATAAGAAAAGAGCAATCTGTTCCATGATCCACCTTTGAATCCTTCCAGTGCAGAAGCATCTTGTTGTCCATCCAGACGTAAAAGGCACCCTCCACCCTTCCCACCTCGTAGTCATGCCACACAGCAGCTCTGATTGGCGAATCCCCGACGACCTTCGTAGGGCCCCCGAACATGTAGCCCTCCACCGCAAGCGTAGGCTTGCTGGCAGAAGCATCCAAAAATAGCAAGGACTGTTCAGTCGAGGTGTGCCGGAGAATGATGGCGGCCGCACTGTGGATATCGTTGTCTTTCATGCGCATGTTGAAGCGGATGATGGCATCTCCCGTGAAGACTGCGGTCAGCAGCTCAGGCCCCTCGCCAGCACACGTCCAATACTGATCATCTACTTTGCCACAGCCGTTCCCTCCAGGAGAAACTCGGCTGGTGAAGGTCTGGTCTTTTGGCGCTGGGTTTGTGGTGACTGCGACGGAGAAGGATCGGACGACATCACTGCCGAAGGAAACATCCAAGTCGCCTGCACCCACCTCCAGTTCAACGCTGAAAGGCTGGGCATCCAAGGTTCGCCAAAAGTCTTGGGATTGTTGGCGTCGGCGGCGCACGTCCCAAAGATGCGGCAAGGTCTTCCCGGATGATGGGTACACTGACACACCGTTGACTCGAACACTTGTGGCGTGAGTGGATCCGAAAAAGGCATACGTGGTCCCCTCAACTCGGAGCCACCCTGCCACCTTGTTGGGGTAGGTCCGCGTCACATCCCCGAGGGTTGTGACACGCATCTTGTCGCCGGGCTGCCACCTGACAAGAGTGCTGTTGTATGGCTCCCAGCGGCCACAAACTGGAATGAGCCCGCAGTCGGGATTGTTCGTCCAAAGTCGAATCTTGCCAGTCCGCCCGTTGGCCCACACATAAGGCCGGATTTGGTCCAAGTTTGCTCCCCAGATGCCTTCAGCCTGGGCCAAATCAAAGCCGAAGTACACACTTCCAGGAGCCCCTCTTCGCCCAACTTGTCGGTGGTGGTCATCAGCTGGTTGCCTTCTGACACTGCCTTCAAGGAGTCGGCATAGAGCTTGCCCAGGTACGTGTAGTAGTCCGAATACGACGGGAAAGATTCCCCGGTCATTGTGTCTGTGCAAGAATTGAAATCGACGCACTTGGTTTTACTAAGGCGCCCGACCAAGTACCTCCTCACACTGCGGGTCCATAGTTGCCTGTAATCGTCAGACACGCGCTGGTACTTCTGGATGATTTGGTCGAGGAATTCATGTTTCCTTGTGTAATATTGCGATAGTTGCAGACATCCCTGCAGCTTGCAAGACTGTATCGGTCCGCAACACTGCTCCTCAGGGTTGTGTGCGCGGTCCGGTTCTGTGACACAGTTGGTTCAAGTTCCATGCCTGGCACCGTGGGTACCCTCTCCCTCCCGCTCCCTCCCGCTCCCTCCCGCTCCCTCCCTCCCTCCCTCCCTCCCTCCCTCCCTCCCTCCCTGACAGCAAACCTGCAGCACCTTTATCCCTAAGTTTAACAATTCTTGGCTATGGAGCTAAAGCCATCCAAAAAGTCATTGGCCCGCTGGCAATGAAAAAGCCCAAGAAGGACAATAATGACGGTTTCCAGCACGTCTCCCCGGCGGAAGATGTAGTCATGAGGAACATGCATGCGGAGGGCATGGGCATCAGAAGATAGCTTCAGCCTGGGCTGTCTACGGACACCCTCTCTCTCTCTCTCTACATACACAAAATGAAATTTTTGTCGATATATGACCTCTTTCTCTCTCTCTCTCTCTCTCCCTCCCTCTCTCCCTCCCTCCCTCCCTCTCTCCCTCTACTCTCTCTCTCCCTCTACTCTCTCTCTCCCTCCTTCTCTCTTTCTCTCTCTCTCTCTCTCTCGCTCTTGCTCTCTCTCTCTCTCTCTTTCTCTCTTCGTGTCTCCCTCGATCTCTATGGCTAAATCTGTATCTTTATCAAGATGACTGTACCTCTAACATTTGCATATGCCCATATGTAGCTCGCCCTCGCTCCATCCAAATAACAATCTTCGCCTCTCCCCTCGCTCTATCTACATACACAAAATCAACATCTTTATCGAAAGTACATCCATCTCGATCTGTCTATAACTCCCTGAAAATTATATCAAAATACCTGTATCTCGCTATCTATAACTCTCTCTCTCTCTCTCTCTCTCTTTCTCTCTCTTGTTAAACTACAGTGAGTGCATGATACAGTTGCATGTGCACTACACTGATGGTTGATGCATACCGCAGGCCGTGAGCCTAGCTTGAACTCCATCAGGAGAAGACAAGAGCTGCGGCAGACTACATTCGTTTGTGATAACAACTGCACAGCATTTGCGCTTGTATTTTAACGTGGTAGCGGAGCTGAGATCCTACCCTAAGGGGAGCTCCAGTAGTAACGACTACAGTAGCACCCCCATATGCCCAACTGCTACGACATGACAGCAGGAGACAACAGGCAGCATCAGCAGGCATACCACTAAAAACTACAGCAAGACAGCCTCGACAACCTGGAGGAACACCGGCAGCACCACAAGCGCGGCACTGACTCGCACTGACCAAGGGCTACGAAGGATCCTTGGAGGAAACACTGAATACTCACGAAAAGCGCTTGATGCCCAACACCTACAGAACAACTGGACGACTGGAGACAAACTACAGTTGTCAGAACTGGCCAGGAACCGGAGATACTACAAGACTTCATGAAGCAAATCTCCAAAACTGAACTTCACAAACGACTACCCAGTGACGACTGGGTTGGTGAAACTAGGTTCAGGAGAAAGATGAATCCTACACCAAGGATCACAGGCAAAACTACAATCGCACGACGAAGTTCAAGTGCACAACCAGAGAAACAACCAACAACAACTACAACCGGGACATCACTCACAATGCGCACTCCACAAAAGATTTGGAGACCTAAAAGCACAACAAACACAACCAACAAGCATTGACACACCGGCATCTACATCCAAGATAACTAGACCACTGACACAACAAGAAGACAAGCAAGACAACCGGGAACGACAAGGAGAACACTGGGTCAGACAATGCTTGGTACCACGCACTACAATGTTCATTCCAACAGATTGTCCAGGACACCCACCAATGAACTCACTTGAACCTTACAGAACTACAATCACCAACAACAACTCAAACAATACAAGGACGAGTGGACCATAGCTGGTAATACTCACCTACCTTACACATGGACCGGACTAACACGGTTCACTGTGAAGGAAGGGTACCACTACCTGGATGACAACCTCTTCGCAGCAGCACAACGAGCCAAAGGACTACGACAACCTCGCAAACCTACACCACAGGAAGTTCATGAACATGAACTCACACATCTTCCCTCTTGGTGTCCAATCTGCGTACAGGGAATAGGACGACAAAACAACTACAAACACAACGAACACGACAACCCGTCATTCAGGTCGACTTCGCCTACATCAAGACCAACCAGGAGCCGCGACCTATTTTGTATTGACAGCAGTTGACGTAACTACACAACTGCGCATGGCATGTCTCGTTCCAGACAAGTGCATGATCAACAACCTACAAGCATTCGGGCTGGAATGCGGTCGCGCAAATGGAATACTACAAAGCGACAATGAGGACACACTCACAATGCACTACTAAAAGCCACAGCAGCAAAACTAGGATCCATGACCGTACAACACTCACCGGCCTACAGCAGTAACAGCCAAGGAAGTGTAGAACGACTACACCGAACACTACTTGGCCACATACGCACTTTCAAGACACAAGTCGAACGCAACTACAAGATCACACTCAACGTGAAACACCCCTTACTATGGATCATACGACACGCTGCGTGGACTATCAACCGCTACGTAGTACACACCGACGGCTACACCAGCTTCGAACGACGCTGGGGACGCAACTACGAACGAGCAATCGTAGAATTCGGAGACGCACTACTGTACATGCCACCGCAGCACAAGAGTCTACCCAAAGCCGAACTACGCATGCAGAAATGCATCTGGTTAGGTACGGTCTCCGAAACAGGTGAGAACTACGTGGCCACAGAACAAGGAGTGACGAAAGTACGCACGGTGAGGAAACTACAGCCGGACTTCAAATACGCACTACTGAACAAGACAACCGGAACTGGAACTCCATGGTCACCGAGACGGAACACCTACGACCCGACCCGAAGTTCACGACACTCCTCGAAATGACCACCTTCGCAATCTCTACGACCGCCTCAACGTGACGCAGGACAACAGCACACGCGGAGGACGACGTACCACAACCACCACCAAGCAGCGCGAACTACTGCAGGACCAATACTACCTTCGACGAGATCTTCAACTACCGGACTCACCAATGGCTACATCACACCAACCACACGCCGACATCCACCACTGCCAGCACCACCAACAACAACACAACCACTACGACGACAAAATAAAGACGAAGTAATGCAACCAACAAAGGCCCAAAAGACGAAAGAAGGAACTACTGTCAGGACGATCGAACAAGACACGAACCACAATCACAACGACAACGGACATGATGATCGCAGCAATCGAACTACACAACGGAACTACAATCCAATCGCACACTAACGACGACCCCGACGAACAACAACAAACAATCATTTGTGACAACGAAGGGTTCGACGAATCCAAACTGCTGGAAGGAATGAAAACAGAGGCAGCAGAAATGAAACTACACGAAGTCTACGAAGAAGTAGACATTTCCACACTTGACCCCTCTACAATAAGGGAAGCAATCCCTACACGATGGGTACACCGTGAGAAAGGACTACTAGTTCGCTCACGCATCATCGCAAAAGGCTACTGCAAGAAAGTCGACGACGAGGACTCCGTGTACGCATCTACACCAATGTTCGCAATACTACGGACACACACTTCTACTCCTGAAAGGCATGGCAAGACTACATAGCACAAGTCCTACAAGATCTACGCTTCAAACAACTAAAGTCCGAACCCAACGCCTACACTTCGCCTACAAGAGACTGCTACATCATGGTGTACGTTGATGATCTACTTGTTCTTGGCGACCCAACGGCAGTCAACAAGACCTCTGAGGCAATCCAACAACGATCCTTGGAAGAATCATCGAACACAACGGTGATCACACCACCATCGGACTGGCCGACTCCTACATCAACAACATCATTGAGCAAGCCTCAAGAACTGCAACCCTGTGGCTACACCTGGAATAGCACACTACAAGCCCACATTGACAAAGAACAACGCAAAGGTACAGACGTGTTGTAGGAAAACTACAATGGAGCCGCGCGGCAAAGCCGCATGCGACGGTCTACGGCCTGCCTGTCGAGGAAGTGAGGGTTCGAGGGCGCGTCCGGCGCAGGGATCCAGGTCTCCTCCGTTTCAAGACTGCTCCATGCAATGTCTCTCTCTGCGTCGCAAGCTCCGCCAGCTGCTGCGCAAGCGAGTTCACAGCCGGTGGACAGCCCATAGCTGGGCCGTAACTTCACGTCGCTCCGCGGCCACGAGCATCTCGTATCTCGTGGCTTGTTTGCTTGACAAATGTGTGGAGCCACTCCAACACACTGAGGGGGCGGCTTTCCGCAAAGGCCTTCAGGACAGCCTTGCGAGCGCAGGGAGCCCATTGCTCCTATCGTGACTTTGCTGCAGCTTCGCCGCGGCCTGCGCCCTTCCCTTTCCCTTGCGCTTTTGCAACTTTCCAGCGGCTCGGCTTTTGCCGCGGCGGACTTTATGGGCGACATATCGAGCGAGGTACCAT